TCTCTCTCTCTCTCTCTCTCACACACACACACACACACACACACAAACACACACACACACACACACAGACACGGAGGGTCATAGATGATCGCAAAAGCGATTAAAATCATTCCGGTTTGGCCAATGCCGCAAGCACTCTATAAATGCCCATCGCCTCTATGGCACCGGCAAGCGCGAGGCGCTTCCTAGCTACGCAATACGGACTCCTCGATATAAAGGAGAAACGAAGAAGAGATGAAGAAGTGAATACAAGTAATATAGCGAGTTAATAAGAAACAAAAATTTCCAAAAATCATGTTGTTCTCCTTCCTGCTCGTCTGCCAGTTCGTCCTGGACAAGATCGCGAAACTACTCCTTGCGCAGAGCAGAAATACACCTACACACTCGTACATTGCGCGCAATGCCGGCTCCGTTCGCAGTTGCTCTCGATCGGACACGGGTGGACCGTGAAATTCACACAACTACTCCCTCATTTTCTTTCTCTTCGTTGCATTTCAGTCTCAGTGTATATGCACGATGCTTCTTTAATTACTTATTTGCTTCTGCTCGTTCTGTCGCCAGATGAACAAGCACCGCAATACACCAACTGAATACTGCCTTTAGTACTCTTTGCAAATGACAAACTCGAAACAACCAAAAGCAAGCACCGCGATACACAAACTAACTATTCCCTTCTATACATCCACGCCAACGACATTGAGCCAAAGAAAAAGATAGCTAGGTTAAGATCCCACCCCGAACCGACCGAAATAGGGGTATGATCCCCGATCCCGGTCGAGGTGCAAATTAAGGTAAGAAAAGAAAAGTGAAATCATCGTGTGGAAGCCGGGTAACGGCGCCGGGATTTCAATTGTTTCTGTATCTTGTTGAGGGACGCTGGGCCTGCTCCCCAAGAATAGACTGGAGCATCGTCCTCCCCCTCCTACCCCGCCCGCCACCAAAGAAAAGGGACATAAAAAAAAAACATGGTGTTGATGGCGGCGATATTGAAGACAATATATATATATATATGTGTGCACGAAAACTCACACAAATAGGGAGGGGGAAAAAATGCAACTGGACGAATATATATGTTAGATACATAGGCATAAACGGATGGCGTATTTCATCGACATCGGACATCGAACTCCTCTCAGTCTCGCGAAGTACAGCAAGACGCAAAGAAGTGGGGGGCTAACCACCTATCCTTTTTCTCTCTCTTTTCTTATCCGAGCGCAAACTGACAACCTCCAGAATTTTCATTGTTCTCAATTCAAAACTAAACTTTACTTTCGATGATTAACAAGTTTGTTATTATTCTCGTAAATGTCGTTCGGCACAGTAGTCAAACCAATCATCCCGCCGTCATCCGCCTGACCATATGTATGCTGATCGCCATGCCAAACAACAAGAAAGACACTGCCAGATTCTGCTCTGCTCTACCTATAACCCACCACCTCTCAAACAAAACCTGCCGGTCGTTCCGTCAGCATCAATGGCAATCGTTAAGCTCAACTTTGCAATCCAAAATTAATCCACTTAGCAATCACTCAACATCGCTCTCGAAAGACATTCCTCACTGAAAGGGGGGGGGGTGGAGGAAGGAGGAGGAAGGGGAGGGGGGGGGGGGGGGGGGGGAGGAGGGAGGTGAAAAAGCAGACGTAAAAGCAAAACGGGGAAATTCGGATTCAAAGGAAATATCGGTTAGTAGAAGGTCGCAGGGAGAACATCAACATCAACATGGGACCCAGCAGATCTAAACGATAACCCATCTTTCTCGTCAGTGGTACCCATCTTCTTGTCAATGATACCCATCTGTCTCGTGGATGAGACCGATCATTCTCGATACTGATACCCATCTTCCGCGTTAATGAAACCCATCTTTCTCGTTAATGAGCCCCATCTTTTCTGGACGATAGTACCCCATCATTGTCATTAACGAGACCCATCTTCCCGTTCGATTTGGTTCTTCCCCACGTTTCACCTCACGATCGTATGAAGAAGCATCAGAAAAAACTGTCGAAGAAAAATGAGAAAGGGAGATGTTAACTGTGAGGAGGGGACAAAAAAGGGAGAAAATAGGAGAGAGGAAGTCGTTCATGAGACTCGTCCCATTTGACTTTGGGTTTCCCCCTCATGATGCTGTAAAGAAGCAAGAGAAAAAATCGCATCCAAAATGGCCAGACAGTGACCAAGAGAATACTAAAAAGAGATGGTAAGAAAGGGAGAAATTGAAAGAGAGAGAAAGTCGACGATTGGGACAATTGTAACAAGGCAGGAGGCCTATAATGCAGCGAGTGTGACAGTGGATGAACAAGACAGTGGAAGACATGACGCGGGAGTTAGACGACCAGCGGAAAAAGGAAAAAAACAGGATCCAACGAGGAATAACAAATACGTAGAGGTCATATGAATGAGTGATGGGGAAACTTGTGGGCGGAAAATTCATCAGCGCTCTTCTGGAATCGAACAAGAGTGCACATCTGCAGCGCCGGAGTTGAGAGGATAGACAACAGTCGAAACGAAATGGAGCAGAGAAAAAGCCATCGAAAAGAGAGGTGGAAGGAAACAAAGCGGAAAAAACAAGCATCGTAATTAGGCAATATAGATCCGCAATTACGACAGCGAAAAAAAGAAGACGTGATGTTGAACGGAGACAGGGACGGAGAGAAAGAGGTGGTGAGGGAGAGAGAGAGAGAGACAGGGGAAGCGAGCGAGGGGAGGAGAGAGGGGGAGAGGTTTATACAGGGGGAGAGGGGAAGCGAGAGAGAGAGAGAGAGACAGAAATGCAATCGGGAAGAAGATGTCAGTGAAAAAGGCACAATAAGGCGGCAACAGATAAACAGACAAGGAGCGAAGAACACCGGCTGGCTGTTCTTCAAAAGAACAGATTCTGCAGATCCTTAAGAGCAAAAAAAAGAAACACGACCTATCATATGCATCTCGTCTTTCGACGGGTAAAGAGGGATAGGATTAGCAGAAGGGAGTCTGACTGATCGAATCAGACGGGTCAGGGTCCAATTCCCGGTTGCAAGTCTGATTAGCAACTGGTTGATCGCCGTTTCTTTACTTAGTACTGTAAGGGGAATTGGGCGGTTCATAGGGAAAGAAAAGGAAAGGGCGGGGAAAAGAATATGCACCTGCTTCTTCTGCTCTCCGGGAGGCCATTATGATATCGCTCCTAGTTTTGCCACCGTCGTGCTTCTGCACCTCGCGATGACTCACAACGCACCTACGATCCATTGGTTTCGGTTCTTCACTCGGCATCATTGGCCCTGCTGGACCCATGCCATCCGATGTTCCCCCGGCCCAGCTGGCCCTCACTGACCTCTCGCTCAAACCATGATGCACTCCCAAGACCGGAGAGTGCGGACTATCCCAATACCGTTTCATACCGACAGTCGGCTCCGTGCTTATCACTTCTTTGATCTCTCTATCGACGGGAAGAGATGGACTTTGGCTCAGATTCGAGTCGCCCGCCATGAGTTCCGCCGACAGTTCCGTTTGCAGTTCCGCTGGCAATTCCGTTCGCAGTTCCGTTTGCAGTTCCGTTTGGGGGACCGCTGAGTCGGTCACTGCCATGGCAAACGACGCCGGCGAGGGAACAGATTGATGATCAGCTGAAACCACGTACTCTGCAGAGGCAACCATCTCCGTCGGCTTCTTAGCGATTTGCAAATACTAAAAAACGAGGGCGCCGCCAGCTGGCACGGCCAACCATAAATGAACGATGACCAGTTTGGCGAGTTCCAGTCACCGGAAGCGATGTTTTTGTCAACGAATCATAATAGCTCTACCTCCATTGCTTTCTATCAACTCGCTCACACTCATCGTCTTTACTACGCCAGCTGGAAGGGCCTTCACACCGCTGCACTTTGCTTACAGCGATGCTTTCCAAGACATTCGATTCGGCCAAGGATTAGAGGAGGGATTCGAGGAGGAAACGGCAGGGAAAGGGGGGGTGGGGGAAGTAGCTCTCTCTCTCTCTCTCTCTCTCTCTCTCTCTCTCTCTCTCTCTCTC